GGGCAGAGGAGGGGTGAACAGAGAGGGGAAAATAATCAGCAAGTGTCACCGGAGTATTTTAAAACACGCTGTGTATAGTAGGCTCACCCGGCTCTAAGACCTTGCAGCACAACGGCCAAATTCCCGCTCCCCGGTGGGTTTTGCCCATGCCCCTCAGGCGGTAAAGCAAGAGGACGGCACATTCACAGAGTCAGAAGAACCCACTGGCGGGCACGGGTCAGGCCTGGCGTGGCAGCAGCGTCCCAGGGCAGAGCAGCGCCCTGCAGAGCAGCACCCGCCCCACGCCCCGGGGAGCGCAGCCCACCTCCTGGCGGGGCAAGCGGTGCAGGAGCCACGTCCACAGAGCATGAAGTGCCCGTGCCTTGCTTCCTCTCAGCCTCCTGTTCGAGGAAACCTCAACAGCGCGTTAAGGGCTGTAATGGCATTAGCAACTCTCACAACACTTAATATAAATTTCCATTAATCGGGATGGCGATATGGCCACAAAACAAACACTTTAGCAATGTTCCGCTGCGCGCGTCCTTTGATGGAGAACGGATTTCCCCCTCTGGAAGGGCACGTCCGCTATCAAACTTTCAGAAATAAACAGTTCAGAAGATAGATAAAATGCTTTTGCAAATTTACAAACCTACGTGTGGTGTTCCTATCGCGTAATTCTCAAATTCTTTAGATATTTACATATCTATAGGCTTTGCTTTGTTCCTGTACTCTTTCATCTTTTTCCAGTAAGTTCATTCAGTTTCAGCCATAATAAATGAATCCAGCAGATCCACAGATGCTGTCATGGGACCTCAGAAGAATCCTCTGTATAATGGTAATTTAAAATTTAAAAGTCTTTTATTCACTGAAACACCAACTCTCAACAAGTCTTGGAAAGACAACAGAACTTCTTGTGCTCCTTTGACCCGTACACCAGTTGCAGAAAGAACTCTGCCAGGAGGAAGGCACTAGCAACGTGTTAGGGTTTTGCCTCAGAACACCAGTTGCTTGCAGTTGGGGTTTAACGAGCGACTTCTGGGGAGCACAGATACTTTACTGCTCATGTTACTTTCATTTTGCCTCTTCTGCTATTGAATACTTTCCTGATATCAAGAACAGTAAATCAAATGGCCAAAAGCCAACAATGACTTCAGTTATTACAGGACGGGGAGCCCGCAGAACAAACTCCTCGGAATAATACTAATCTAAGATGAAAGCTGTATTTGTAAGAGGGATTCAGCTGGCTATTTTCAAGCATTCATTACAACTGATCCAAAACATCTGGGAAGCTTCCTGCCAAGGCCACTAAGCTCAATGCAGTTATGACAAAAGTAACTAAAAAAAGCTACTTTCAAATGAGAGGAGCAGGCAAATGAGTAGTCCCGCTAAGAAACTGCGCCAGGGTGCACAAATGCCAATAAACAAGCGCCACTAGGTAAGGTCACGTTACAATCCCCGAGCCCGGAGCTGATCTCTGCCTCGAGTAGTTCCTGGGCAGTCCGTCTTTTGGGAATCTCCTTCCCAGGTCGGCAGGACAAAAACCACACGGCAGGGCTGGCTGTCCTCAGCCAGCCTGTTAAACAGAAAAGATGAGATCTGGGGGAGGGGAAGTGTTGTCACAAGCAGCAGAGGAAGCAAAGCCATCCTGGAGGAATTAAATTTGGGAACCACCAGGTTATAAATCCTGCTGGATACAACATGTGCCAGGCTGCCACACAGCTTGCTTTAAAAGCTTATAAACAGGGCTGCGTTTTCTTCTGGCTGCCAAAAGGACATAAATATTTTAGAACATTGCTGAAAAAAAGAGGAACACAAATGTGCAACAACCCTAAGCCATTAATCTATAAATAGTAATTTGATTTTTTTTGGAAGCATATGTATATAAATGCCCAAAGTAATTACTTTCAAGGCAGAACCTGTTTTGAAATTTAGGCCTTCAGACAGCATTTCTACATATCCCTGTGAAACCACAAAGGAGAGCATTGCAGGGGAGAGGAGGGAGAGGTTTTTATACGTGTAGAAGCCCCCTTAAAAGCCACAGCAACGCCTCTGGCAACCCGAGTCTCTTTACAACCAGTAGGACTGATCAGGAGCTGACCAGGTGACTAACAACCTTTATTATACATCAGTTACTTTTATGACTTTAGAATGATTTCACCAAGTCCTCCCAAAGCCGGTTATGGACCAAGAACATTCACCATAGGGCTGTGGGTTGCAATGCCAGTGATATTAAGAAATTAAGTACTTCTAGATTTTCTTCACTCCACCCTTTCATGATGGCAAAAGGGCACATTAGGAAAAAAGCCTTCAGCTACAGGAATGGTTAAAGATCTCCAAAGACTTGTACAGGACACTGATTTGTCATCTGACAAAGCGGTAGAACAAAACGTTCTGTTAAAACACGCTCTATTTTCTTGCCACATAGAAATAATTCCAAGCAATTTTAAAATGTAAAATATTTGACTTTTGCAACTTAACAAAATCCCATGTACTGATATTTTTAAACATGTTACTGTAAAGCTGATATTCAAGAAAAACTATCAGACGCCAAACTTTCCTAAAAGAATCAGTGATCGAGGCAAAACCACCATTATTAGCTCACTGAATGGCATTAATTCTCTTTTCTGTATTCAATCCTCCAGCTGCGAGTAAAGCAAACACTTCATTTAACTTGATCAGTGTCTCTTCAACTATACTAATACTTACAGAAAACGATAATTTTATTATCAAAAAATGACTAGCAAAACACTTTCTCTTAGTTATTTTACAATGACTCAAACAAGCAGAGAGCTTTAAGCCAGAAGTATTGAGATTTGTGAATCTGGAGAGCCACAGCCAGGGGACAGTCAACAACCACAGAATTTACTTCCATCTTGTTGCACTGGCAGGTTTGGCAAGGCAGGAAGCTTCTGGCTGATCATATCTCAGATATTTGCGTTTTCAAGTCTCTCTGCCCTCCTGACATGAGGATTAGGGCTTGAGTAAGACAAAAAAACCCCAATCAATTAAAAAATGTCAAACACGGGTTAAGTTCAGACAGCAAACGTAACCCACCTGACTTCCAGAGCTGGGGAGCAGCCCTAGCACCACAGTGCCACAACAAGGCACCTGCAAAAAAGAATCTCACATTTGAATTCTACTTAAACTACGTGCTGATGAGCAACTGCCTGTTCTCAAGGCTGATGTAGTTTGTTAACGTGATCTAGTTGGGCTCAGGTGGAAGGGAAGCAGACGTGTGCGGGGGCAACTCGGTATCCTGAAATCTACCGCACGCTCCAAAACCAGCGTCCTTAGGGGACTTGCCTTTCCGTGCCGCAGAACCGAGAGGCTGGGCGTTCTCAGCTCCCTGCTGCCCTAGGGACAACTGCTTTGGGGTGTGAACAAAGACTTCATTTTAGTTGTTGGCTGTGAGTGCCCACGTCAGTTCACCTCTTCTTAAAACACTCTGTTGATGTCACGCTGAATTTTCAGCGCACCCTGGCTTTCCACTGCTCAGCGACCTGATCAGGACGCGCATCTGCCTCCATAGAAAAACACCTCCTTTAAGGACACAGAAGTCTAACTTGTTTCTAAACATCAATTATCTACATAGATAATTCTGGAGATTTAATTACCCATTAGTCAAACAATATCCCAAATCAGAATCTTCCCTTCAAAAACAGGCATGACATTTGCTTCAAGTCTACCAGCATTCCCTTTGTTAGTCCTGAAGCCACAACTGACTGATGATACATTTTAGAAATGGTACCAGGAACCTAAACATCAAGCATATAGTGGAAACACTCTCCAATAAATTTCATGATTTCTCATTTTAAAATGCTGATTTGCTAGAAATTAAACACTTCTAATCCAGTCACAATCTTCCACGTTAGAGATCTTGCCCTATTAAACTTGGTTTTGGTGTACCAAATCTACTTAAAAATGATGCTGACCTTTGTAAACAGATTTCTGTTAATCTTTATATAAAGCATCATGGCTAACAGCTTGTTAAACTGAAAGAGATCAATAGGTTGGCTTCCAATGTCAATACAGACTAAACCAAAAGAATGAAAATGAAGCATTCCACAAGGATTTTCATGTTATTTGTGTTTATATAAAAATATTTCCTTTAAGCAATTGTTAAGAGCTCAACTCATTTAAAAAATGATAGTGTGGAATTAGCTATGTTGAAACAAAAACAAGCACATAAAAATCACTAACTTTCACTGGATTAGCCTGGAAAAACGGATTTCTTATAAAATAAATTACCTTCTACAGATCACACCATCTGAAAGAAATGCAAGAATCAGGACGAAAGCATAAAGACCACTCAAAACAATAACAAACATTCTAGTGCGTATTTACTAGATGTATTATCTAAGAAATAGCTTAATATTTCAACATTCAAATTACAAGCTTCTAATAAAATGACAAACTTCAACAGGATTTACTCCATTCTTTGCAGAGACAAGTGCTGCTATAGTTATCCAGAGCATTGAAAACCGAAGGCCGAAACAGGCATCTGCTACGGAAGTGACAACTTCAGCTTTTGTCAGAAGAATCCACCGCACACAACACAACTCCTCATTGCAAACAAGAGTAACAACCTGAGAGCTTAAAGAGCTTCATCTTGGCCCCCATTTGATGTCTTTTACACCATGAAACTGCCTCTTCAAAGCATGGCTGTCTGCCCACTCAGCATTTAGAAAGGAGTCGTCGTCATCCTCTTCTAGTTTCTGTAAACAGAACCGACGGGTTAAGGAGGCAGCAGCGGATGTCACCTGCGGTTAGTGCCTACCACAGCACAGCGCTCTCACAGTAAAAAGACACTGTTACCTTAAGTTCCTCCTGCTTTCTGTAGTAGTACAGCATCATCTGTTTTTGCTCTTCATGACTAATCAGAGGTTCACGCCCTGGAGCTCCTTGTCCTTTCTGAAAGGGAAATGATAAGTTTTATTTATGATGGCATTTGCAATACAAAAGAGAAGCTGCTATGCAAAGATAGCGAACTCTTTCTTCAGACGATAGGATTTCTCAAATTTAATAAGGTCCCTCAGGACAGGAAAATAAATGTTGAGAAACTTCTGCTGCATTCAAGTGAGAATTATTTTTTCATCTCAGCATCTGAATCATGCTGTCATTTTTGTGGCCATCGATGGAAGGTGCAAACAGGATTGAGTCTATTTTACCTAACCTTCTGCTCTAAAAGACATAATAAATCTCTCTCTGTTTTAAGGTCGTTCTAGATGTCTCATGATGGGCTCCCATCCATCTTTAGCTCCCCTGCTAATACAGACTCAAGATGGCACATGAATTAGTAAAGCAGGGAAGAAAGGCAGTTACAAAACACTACAAAGAAAAGAAGTTTTATTTGTTACTACAAATAAAAAAATTCTTTTTCCAGGCAACTGTCCTCATGGAAGAAATGATGTGCAGAGCAGAAAACAGCCGATGACAGCTATTGTCAACAACAGCAAACAGAACAGTTTGAACAGAGATGGTGAATCCTCCCTGGAACAAAAAGGGTCTGAGGTAGTTTAATTTAGCTCTCCAACCCAAGAATGCAGGCATCTCTTGTCAGATAGAAAAATCACTGTACTACTATGCACGCTCTGAAGAGGTCCATCAACTAATTAAGCCATAAGACAACTTTCCTGGGAGCCTACACTTCAATGGCTGTTGAGTTGTCACAGTATTTTTCAATCACCCTGATAGGAAAAAGAAAGCAATTCTGGTCTTCTAAATGACAAACACATAAATCACTTGACTTATCTTTGAGGAATTCCATTACAGACACCTGCAGGTAATAAGATCTGCCATAAACATTAATGCTTTCTGTGGCAGAGGTGGTCTCACTGACATGGGAGTGAAATGCAGCTCCAGAATAATTCTGAGCCATGGGTAAGAACTCAGAGACATTTGGCATACAAAAAAAAAAAAAAAAAAAAAGCACACTTTGAGTGTGATTTGATATATATATATACAGAGAGATACATACACACACGAACTGGGTGAGCAGCTTCTGACAAAGGCCTGAAAATGAACTGAAACACCATTCCTCCCTCAAGTATGGCATTCTCACCAGAGAGGAGTACAACTGCACAGTTGGTACAAAATCATTCTGTCCATAAAACACTGAACAGTCCCAGTAGCTTGGTGCTAATTCTGATATTGCAAGACCACGACCACTGCATGAGACAGCAGTATACACTTAATGACTGGCTTATACTGAAGCATCAGGTCTATAAACTGAGGAACAGCAGCAGATTTTCACCTCATTTTAGCTCATTACTCCAGAGGATGACTCGGACCTGTGTTCACAATTAACACAGGAGGCTTCACCGTATCTGACAACTGGGAAGTCTATTTTCTTTAAAAAAAGTTGAGCTGGAAGCTTTAGGTGAGGTGTTGCCAACAGCGCGACTGGGCGGTACAGGCCCAGCAGCTCGTTCTGCCTCCTCGCACTCAGCGAGTTCTCACCGAACACTTCGCAAGAGCCTAAGTTCAGGCTCTTCCACAACCCGTGTCCTCTCAAAGGAGATGCACATCCACATTTCCTAGGCAACTGAGACAGTTTGAGGACCTGCCATCAAGAAACTCAGGACATCACAGGCAGGAAATGCCTGAGTTACAGACACTGTCTTTCAGACACAGAGCAGACTGAAACGGGGATGAGAGGCGTCCACACCACATATGCACAAAACATTAAAACTGTTTCTTAAAGGCCAGAATATGGACAGTAGAACATCCACAAGCACAATTAGAAAAACTGAGCAGGCCAAATGACTGGGTCTGTTCAGTGCTCAGCACTGTGATGAACTGAGAGCCAGATGAGGGTTTTTAAACTTCTCAGTTTCTATTTCATCTACTTTTAAATACCTCTTTGCTGTACTTAAGAAATGGAGCAAGTAAGAGCAACTACTGACAGGGAAAGGAACTACTAAAGAAAAACTTAGAATACAATAAACTAAAACCTAAAAATAGATTGACAGTTTTAAGACACTCAAGCTAAAACTAATCTAATCCATTTTATACACCTACGGAAACTTCCCTTCCACAGAGAATTAGACAGCGAAAGGTGCATAACCTGTAAAGAAATCTCCCAGCAACACTTACTTTCTGTATCTTGACAATGATGGTTGTTTTCTCATTTTTGCCTACATAATCAGAGAGCAACTTTGTTTCTTTCAACTCCTTTCCTGCCCACCATAACTGTGCTTCTGATTCTTCTATAACTTCAAGTCCAGCCTGTGACAAATGAACAAACAAGGTGAAGTGTTGGGGGAGGTGTTGTTTTCTGCCTTTTTTCAAAACCAGAAAAATTTTCTGGGAAAATCTTTCTGGTATTCCTAACAGAAAGGCCAGTGTAATTTTACACTCTACACCTGCTACATCTTTCTCCTCGTACTAATCTGCAGCATTTTCGTTCACATTCCATTCAATCTTAATCTAACCTAAACACTTCAGGCAATAAATTCCCAATACTGGCATCAGAAAGAAATGACAAGCTATTTAAAATGAACCCCAAACTTACCTGAACTTTGTACGTAACATTTGAAATAAGCTTCATTAATCTTATTTCTAGTTAAGCTTTTACATAAACATCAGACAAAAATATTAAACAAAATTTGTCATGCAAATTAAAACAGCCTTCATTGCTAAAATGGAGCATAGCACATATTTAACCCAGGGACTACATATAATCCAAATACATTACTGCATACGTGAGTTCCCGCCAAGTCTTCTTTATCTTCAAACTCCATCCTAACGGGATCATGCGGAGGCAATCCCATCGGATACACAATCATCACAGCCCCTCGGAGCTGGTCCAATGCATCTTTCACCATCTCCATATTAACACACACATTGGCCTGAACTTGTTTCTGAAATACAGGCAGGGATCATTGGCAATTAAAAAAAATATGCAGAAAGACCTCGCTTTGTAGTCAGTTCAGAGGTTCAACAGCAGGACATCTGAGCAAAGCTAACTGGCTGCACAAAGATATTAGGAGCACAAATTCTCTCATTTGAATATTGACTTCTGAATACAACTCCACACTTTAGCCCTTCCATTTAGCTTACTTACACTGCAGGGGTGGGAGAGGAAAAAAAAAAAAAAAAAAAAAAGAGAGAGAGAGAAAAGAGAGATCTTCACTAAATTGCGCAGGAGGCATTTAGTAACAAATGCCTGTGGGATACAGGCATTCAAACAAGTACACATACAACCACAGAAACTGGATGGGGAGTGTTTTGTTCCAAGCACTTGTGATAAACAAACAAGATTCAAAACAGTAGAATTCAAGCGAGGGCTAGAGAAGGGGCCTAAAACGTGAGGAAAAAGATAGAGCACACGTGAGCAGAAGAGTAAAGCTTGGCATATCGCATGACTTATCCAGAGATCTGCAAGATCAAATACTTGAGATCATTCCAAAACCTACTGCAATGGATAAGGGAAAAACAAGACGCATCTGGAAGAGAAGAAATAAAGTTCTTGCTTATGGATTTAACAGTTCTAATAATTTAAGTAACAAGGTTTATAAAAAACAGAGTAAGAGAATGTTGCCTCCTTGTGGACATTCTTAAACGAGTTAACTAAGAAATCAATTGCACTTGCCAATTTCAGATGATCAACTTTTTTTTTTTTTAAATACACAGGCATATTCCTTCATTTTCATCAATATAAAGCGATGAACCTAACAAACCACTTCCCAAACTATCCTTAAATTCATTCACCAATGAATGGCAATAATTTGGGGAGCAAGTCAGCACACAGTGCGGCAATTTTGCAACTTTTTATTGACAACATAGTACATAGTTACAAGTTTTACCCAGGAAGACCTGCAAAGTGGAGACCAGATCTGCAGGTATATTTGGCTCAAGAAGAAAAACTACACGTTATTAATTTCCTCCCTATTTAGAAATACAACTGATGAGATGCAATCCATTAGGAAAAAAAAAGTCCATCTGGAGAAAAATTTTTACAGTCCAGAAGGTTTAATCTGAAACGTCTCTCATTTTGTGTAGATTTTGCTGTGACTCAGAACAATTTGGCCGAAATCCTGCTTCAATTCAGGAAAGGTTTGCTGCAACTCAGCACACTGGAAGTGCTACCAGGCAACAGGGCAGCTCCTCTGCTTACCTTCACAAGGCCTTTGGAAATATTGAGCTGCTCACTCTAAATGACTGATAGGACACGGTTATCAGCAAAAAAACAGCCAAGAAGGCCAATTTAAGTGCACAGACAACACTAAAAAAAAACCCCAACAGTAACATTATCTATTTGCATAACTGGTTTAAAGCTGTTTTAAAGTTCCACGCATACCAATTCCCAGAACTGTAAGGGTGGGGAGAAGAAAATTACTTGCAGATGTTTACAAAAAAAAGAAATCTGATAATAAATATGACTTAATTTATGTTTCAAAGTAATACGAAAGCTGAGACACAACACAGAGCATCTACAGATTTGGTAAAGATGAATAACTGAGACCATAGTCCCACCAGGGCATACCCTCATGCTTATCTTTAAACACACAAACTCACTGGGACTGAACATGAGTTCAAGTACTTGTAAAACCAAGGCCTATTCTACGAGATTAGAACACATTTTCCAATTAAATCTACATAAACCTCAAAAGACTATGTTAACGGGCAGAAGGTATTTTAGTCCAGGAACATCACAGAATGCAGTTAATTTTTCACCAGAAAACACGACAAGCATTCACCTTAAGAATGCATCAATAGCAAATTAAGAGCATGTGGATAAAATTAAATGCGATTTAATCATTCAATGTGGTCTCCGCTGCCAGCATTCACTTGGAGTTTAATATCTGATTCCTTAACTTGTTGAACTAGCTTGCCAAAAGCCATTAAGAAAATCATTAACAGAAATGTCAGCTTTTATTAGACTATTCACATCACTTCATGATATTACTCAAAAATTGTCAGCCCTTTGTCCACATTTAGCCTGTACCCAGGGCTAAACTATAGCAGCTGCTCTATCACCCAACAGCCCCTCACCAGCCAGGGAGAGGAATCAGGAAAAGGAGAGCAGACCTGTAGGCTGAAGTGAAAACAGATTTAATGAAACACCACCAATACCAACAAGGGTATATACCATGTTATACTCAGCCAACTAAACACACAGCCATCAGAACCAACAGGAGAGCCACCCTCATGAGCCAGGAACCCCACAGGAGCTCCCCTCCCTCAGCCAGCCTTCCCCCTTTATAATGACCAGACGTTATGGTGTGGGCTACACCTGTAGCTAACTCAGGGCAGCTGCCCCGGATGACCTGAAACTGCCAGCGGCCTGCCCAGCATGGCTGGCCTAAGATTCTATCCCAGACAAACCAGGACACCCTTGCACTGAAAAAAGTCTATTTTTATTTAAGCTGCCCAACTACATAGCAGGTATTAAGAAAGTCCCACATACCACATGCTCCTTCAGAAAACTTACCTTAGAGATTAATGCCTTGGCTTCCTCTATTGTCTTCTTTATAACTTGCTGCATTTTTTCATTTGGAGCTAAAAATAAGAGACACATATTTAGCCTACACTTACTATAAAGAAACCAAGCAAATGACCTATTCAGGTTATTCTCTACTGTAAGCAAATGAAACATTGTTAAATCACAAAGCAAGAGTGACACTACTAAGTTGCCATATATTTACCAGTTTTACAGTTCATTGCTGTATTTCTGACTCACTTAAGAAACAAAACAGTATTTCTCATGGGAGAGCCAAACTTACTTTTCCACAAAGACACTTGACTGGTATCTGGAACTTCATTTGGAACAAAAGTACTGAGTAGAAAGCAACAGCCATAATCTCATACTCCCCAACCAAAAACCAAGGCTGTCTTTCCCATGCCATGCTTAGCGACTGTTGTGGACTGTATTGGCAGATGTGCTTTAACTGGGGACAATGGCTTGGGATTTTCTTTTTTCTAATTAAAATCTCAATCTAACATCAAATGCAGTTTTGCAAATACAATGTGCATTTCATATCATAGTTATCTATTTTAATTGTTATAAAAAGCCTCTCCTGAAATACAAAAATCCAATTAAATCATACTCATTCACAGCTGAACACTTAAATGCATCATTTGATGGTGTTCGGTTTGGCCCACATTTACACACTGTTCCATAATATAACTTTGATAATATTACAAAGCCATCCTCCCACTAGCAAGTAAATGCCAGAGTACAAATACAAGTAAAAGTGGTGCTGTCCTCATGTTAAAGTCGCTTGCAAACTTGTACTGCAAGGCCCAACACTGCTAACAACCATGCCAAACAAGACAGGCTTTGCCCACAGGCCTACGTACAAGACACTCGGCTTTTTCTCAGAACACAGTTGGGAGGGAAAACATTTAGCTAGAATATAAGCTCTTAATCAAATTCAGCAAAGGCTTAAATTTGATTGGGCAATGTGTTGCGTTAGAAGAATTATTTTCCCCAAAATAAGACACTTGGAGTAAGCTGTCTGCATATGACAAGACTAAGTTATTCAAAGATTAACTGAGCTGCCCTGCAACTGACGTCTAAAGGGCTGCTGACCCGGCAGGGGCTGTCAGGAGCACAGGAACAGGCAGCAGGGCGACAATCGCCATCTCTTCTGTTCACAGTCCTCATGCTCTCGACTGTTAAGTGGTGCTCAATACACATGCCAAGTGCCAAGGCAAAACCTCTTGGCTGGAGTTGCAGAAAGACAAAGCGACGGGAGTGAGTTCAGTAAGTCTCAGTCAAGTTGAATGAGAAAAAAGAAGAAATATTAGACAAACAACCTGTTAATAATGTCTCTGAGCCTCTGGAGAAAAACAGTCCTCAAGTATACATTTACAAATGGGGAGAATAAATTGAAGTGCAACAGCCAATCTTGCTTCTGATAATCATTTACTTATCTTTGAAGTTTACTTCCAAGTACTAGAGTTGCAAAGTTAAACAGCATATGTGCTTATATGATGAGATATACTACAATTTAGGCTTTTAAATCAACATCACACCAGGTCCTAATCCAAGACAGAAGATTTATGTATATAACTAATAGTTTAGCCAATCTTTTGTGAAAACACGCTCCTGAAACAGCTACTACTTAACAAATCTACAACTGCTTTTCATATAGTTTATTTATAGGATGATTTTTATAATTAGCAAATAAACATGAGCCAGCTAACATGCTGGCCTGAAATCAAATGTATACTTAGCATCTACCAGTTTTTTTCTTCGTCCAGGACAGTGAGGTAAAAGTGAAAGGTTCAGAATTATGGTTTTTACATTCCTCATTATATTATAGATTACCTGTGCCTGCAGGGAAAGCAACAAACATTTACATTTGATTTACCGTGTCCATTTCTTCGCCCAATTTCATCCTTCTTGAAGACACTCCCACCACTCGGCACACACTTTTCTGCCCACTCATCCTTCAACTTCAGTTCTTCGATTTGCTCATCTGTCAGTCCTTGCATATTATACGGCAAGAAAATACCATGCTCTGCCAGCTCCTCCATCTCTTTAAAGTGTTTAAAGAAGATTAAAAATTGGTGTTATTGAGAACATACAATTTACAAAAGCCTCTCATATTATGTACATGCAGGCAAACCTTACTCCTAGCCTCCAGTTTTCAAAGAGCTAAGCACATGTAATAAACAATAAAGTACATAAATACAAATATATAGATACATATGCTGTAATTACATTACAATTCATACATTTCACGCATATATTAACAATGTAACAGACAACACAGTGCAGGTATGCAAACCTGGATGATACTTGCTGGCCATAAACTTTTACTTTTTGCTATTTCCTTAGTCAGCTTTAGCTGACTGCATATTTCTAAGTACTTTTGGGAAAGCAACTTTTTTCAAAATGGAAAACAATTTTGTTGTTATACAGTAACTAATTTCTTTGCAGTTGAGAAAACACGTAACTGTACTACCTACAGATTTGTCCATACTACATCTGAGCCAGAGAGTCATTCACACCCAGTATGAAATAAAAAATAAACAAAACTCTCAACAGTAGTTTGTCTCATTAAGAAACAATGGTCCAGGATAATTCAAGCTGAGACAACATTGAGGTGTAAATGCTGGTTACCAATGCACAGTCTCACACAGTGAGAACAGACAGCGTGTGGATGCGGTTTCCTAACCCTGCTACCTAGCCTGCAGCACCTGATCCACAGCCTGCAGGCTATACTCACAACTTCCCCCACCACTTATCCAGCTGTCAGCCTACTTTACAGCATCCTTTCCCTGAAGGCCCTCCAGCCTCTTCACCATCACCATGTTAGTTAAACCATATCCACCTCACAACAGGCACACCAGAAGTACCCCAAGTCCCAAGAAACGTCAATCCTATTTCCGTGGCTGGGAATATAGGCACCCACGTGAAACCAAAAAGGTCAAGACTAAATTACTACTTGTCCTGTGGGCAACAGCAACGGATCCATAGAAAGAGTCAGTGCTGAAAATACAGTAACCACGGTGTTTGCGTTGAGGATTTTTGTTTATTTCAGATCAGCCTCAGTGTGGTCTCATACACTACGTATTTGTGGCTGGAGCACATCACATGTAGAGGGGCTGCACCCTTCAGGTCACAGAACTGTGGGGGTTGGAAGAGACCTCTGGAGATCACCTAGTCCAACCCCTCTGCTAAAGCAGGTTCACCCAGAGCAGGCCACACAGGACTGCATCCAGGTGGGTTTTGAATATCTCCAGGGAAGGAGACTCCACAGCCTCCCTGGGCAGCCTGTTCTAGTGCTCTGTCACCCT